GACACGGTGATACTCCCGGAATCAATGTCCCTTCCTCCCCAATCACTGAATAGATAACTAAGAAATACGAAATTCACTTTGCTAATAACATAAGGCAAATATGATCAGGGAGGTAATGCTGGGCAAGAATCTTTGCATGAATTTTCAAATTAAGTAAAGATTATTTATACATGGATCTCTCATTTAAAATAGTAATTCTCTGAAGGAGCAGGGGAAGTGGGAGGGGTAGGGAAAAGGAGAGAAGAGAAAAGAAAAAATATGAGAAATGGAAAAACATGGAAACAAAGTCTTTGCAAATAGGGAAGGGTGGAGGGGGTGAAGGGAGGACAGGGGAATGGGGGAAAAATAAGAACTAAGATACATCATGTAAAGATTCAAGATTCTAATGATGACTGCAGCTATATTGTATACCTAAATTATACCACTAAACTTAATGGAAAAAATAATAAAACAAAATAGTAATTCTCTACCCTAGTACACCCAAAACAATTTCTGGTAACAAATACCAGAATGTTTCTTTTACTATTCTGGAATGAAAACTAGAGATAGTGTTACCTTCCTACACGTTTAACTTTTTTCAAAGCAAAATCAATATGCCCTGAGTACAAAAGATAAATTAAAGGAATACTTAAGGAAAATAATATTTATTTCTCTGTATGAATGATGGAGTGTGAGTGTCTTAGGAGACATAATAAAGTTTCTGACATTTTCAGTCATTTGTAGAACCACTAGGAATGCAACTATCACAAATACGCACTCACATAAGAGTGCTGTATGATGCTCAAAGACCATAAATAATGTTGCTGTTGCTGATGTGGTTTTCCAAAATGATAACCAACTCCTGGTAAATTCTAAACAAAAAAAATTACATCTCTCCCTCAATTTACTCAGTTATTATAGACCTAGAAAGTATATTTTAAAACCATGCCAAGCAAATGTATTTATATGTAAAATGAAGATAAATTCACTTCAGAAGTTATAAACAGATTTCTGCTTATATGATTATCCATTGGGACCTTCAAAATCAGGTGAGATGCAAGACAGTGCTTCCTTCCAAGGCATAGTTCCTCACATTACAGAATGTCTAATGGACCAGGTCCCTGCCTGTTTAATGCCACAAGTGCCTACAATCATCATGAGAATCACAGATTTTCAACCTTCTCCCTAAGAAAAGTCCTATCTTTGTCGAGAACTACCAGTTTGCAATCCCATCTATAAGACTTCCCTCACTGACTGAGATAATTAAGAGTTGACTGTAGTTGTGAAACCAAAGATGCACTAGCAGGGACCTAAAGCTCATCCAGTCGGCCACTTCACTTCACCCATGTGAAGGTAAATAACACAATCATGGATATTCAGTTACTGAAATAAAAACCAAGGTGTCCCTTGCCATACCTTTTCTTATTGAATAATTTTAAATGTATCTCTCTTGGACCAGGGATTTAGCTCAGTAGTTCCACCTCCTGCCTCAAAAGCATAAGGTTCTGAGTTTGATCCCTGGTACCAAAAAAAAGAAAGAAAACAAATGTATCTCCCTTGCATACAGATATTTTGCATGCAAATATTCAGATATTTTGAAATACCTGAAAATGTATCTCTCTTGCTTACAGATATTCAGATATTTTGAAATACTTGATAATTTGAAATATTTGAATAATTAACAAAATATTTCCATTTTTTCCAAGATATTCTGTCTTGTAAACACTCACTTTTCTCTACCAATTATGACAGCCATGTCAGATAATCCCCAGTGCTCACTAAAAACCTGAATTCCTGCATATAAACAATCAGAAGAATTTGAAAATACTAGAAGATCCCTTGTTTAATGTGTCCAAAGCGATGGTTTTGTGGGACAGAAATTATCTTACCTGGTTTGTGCCTGACTGGTTTTCCCACTTTTTTCCCCAAACTACAGTCATCAAGATCACAGCAGGACCTTGGGAAATGAGTGACTGAAATTCCAGTCTCCTGAGGCCATGCTTACTAGCCAGGGCCTCTTCCTCTGACTCAAGGTGGCAGGGGCTGTCCCTTCACAGACTTAATGAAGACTTGACTTGTCACCAATTACACCTAGCAAGCAGGTCCTGGTAGTGAATTGGATATTTTTATGTTCAATTTGGGAGATCAGATATTCTGGGAAGAATGTTTGATTGTACAAAACTCCCAATACTCACAAGTTCTCCAAATTAAATTTGCAGTCAAATTGTTGCCTGTTTCAATGGCATTTCTTGGAAAAATTCTATTTATGATTCTCGTACATTATCAGGGTATACAAATTTGTATATAAAATAAACTCATGGGATTCAGGAATTATTGGATGAAGCTGTGGATCCTACATCAAAGAAGAGAAATGAGTTGCTTCCTAATCCTTTCCTTGCACAGCACCTGTGTGTGCAGATTAAATTCTCAAGAACGCCAAAGCAAACATAAAAGTCCTCCAGAAAAATAGCATCAGGCCCTCAAACTTAATGCTCGCCTACTCTACTCTCTCCTCATGGATGACTTCTTCAGGTCTTCCTTCAGAGATCATTTCCTCTTAATTTTAGACTCACTCAACAGTATAAACACCCTGTGTTGGAAGCAGCAATTTAGAAAAGAGATGGTCTGACTGCTCAAGGTGAGGACCATGAAAGCAACAAGTAACAACTGACTGCCTGACCTCAAGGAGAGAGATGGGACAGTATTTTACAAACTTGGGGGAGGAGAGCTGAAATAAAAATTAAAATAGCAGCCTGGGCCATTTACTGTGAGGACAAAGGATTTCACTGTCCTCAAGGACAGCTCCATAGCACAGGACTATATTGTGAAAGATATAAAAGAAGAGTTTAGTTCTGATATTCTGCAGCAAAAGCAAGATTCGATGTAACAGAATCCTAGGGTGTAAGAATTATATCCTTAAGGAAGCACTTTTATTTTACAAATAAGGAAACTGAATATAAAGGGGTGTTGCTGAGAAAAGAGCCCAAGCTAACAGGTACAGGACTTCTTCCACAGGGACGTCTTTACAACCAGAGCAACTTCAGGAAAGGAAGAGAGATTACATCACATTTATTGTGCCATTGCTTTTGACATCTCTTGTCTTTCCTTCTTTGCATTGGTATCACTCCCTTCAAAAGGAGAAGAAACCTGCTCTCTTTATTCACAAAAGAGTGAACTATTGTTCCTTGGTTTGTGATGAGAGAACCTCAGGGTTGGCCTTTAACAAAATTGGGACTGAAGGTAAAGTTTACCATGTACATCCCACTGCTGGTGTGTTTCCTGCAAGCTGTCTTATGTCTGTCCTCCAACTGGCCGCCCCACCTACTGCCCCACACCCGAAGTTCCCAGCCACAAGAAAAAACCGCCAACTCCCAGGAGTTTGGTGTAGCCTCAATCTCTTTCTTATTTGATCTCTGTCACATCAAAGAATGAAGCACTGTTCTAGTATTTTTTCAGATGTAAACAAGCACAAGCATTACCTGGGAGCCTGTTAAGATGTCATTTTCCCCTGAAATTAGAATTCAAGGGATGATTCTAGCAGAGGGGAGCCCCACACCTTCTCTGCAAAACATATGGATTTTGCTTAACTGTCCAGCCTCGTCTCTTCCTAATAACCCCATGCAATTCTCCTTCACCGCAATGCTTCCTCCTGTCTTCCCTACATGTCTTTGCCTAGTGTTCTACTTTCTTTAACCAATTAATTCTTCCATAAACCTCAAAACCAGCTGAGTACATGTCTCACTGTGCCCATACACTTCTGCATTGTGAAGCTTATCAGGCCTACCATGTGTGCTGATTCCCTGCCATATCTCTCCTTGAGGATAGGGATATGCATCACTTGTCTTTCTTGTTTCCAGCAGTTAGCACTCTGCCACACATTCCAAAAGTGTTTGTTGAGATGTCTTTTGCATATGCTAATTTATCTTACTGATAACTATTCATTTACATTTGCATTTTTATCTACCTATTTGATACAATAAAGAATTTTCATAGATTGCTTAAAGCATCACTTTCAAATGAAGAGCATCTTCTATAACTGTCAAAACTGAAATAGAAGAATATTATTTCACAATATAACCCTGTTCCATAGTGGGGGTCCCACTGAATCAGACCCATGTGCCCTCAGGATATCTGCCATGTAAGGCATGCAACAGAGTCCACACAACACATGAGAATTTTTCTAAATAAAGATCAGGTTCCTAAAGTTCAATAAAACTCATTCTTATTGCCTTCCCAGGCATTAGTGTTAAAATGTTTGGGGGAAATATGGTTGGAAGTGATTGGAATTGCCTTAGAATTGATTCATATACAGTCACATGCCACATAATTTTGTTCAGTGATACAACACATATATGACTGTGGTCTCATAATATTATAATGCAGATAAATATTCCAACAGACCAGTGCCATCATAGCTGTCATAGCTGTCTGCAGTACAACATGTTGCTCAGATGTTTGTGGTGATGCTGGTATGAACAAACCTGCTGCACTCCCATTCATATAAATGCACAGCACATGGGATTACATATAGTGTATAATAGCCAGTAATGATGACAAATGATTAAGTCATTGGCTTACGTATTTATTATACAATACCACTTATAGGTCTTTTAGAGGGCACTCCTTCTACTTATTAGAAAAGGCTACTGTAAAATAGTCCACTGTTTGTGCTGGCATAGGCCTCATACATTTCAGGTTTACTGCATCTCCTGTCTGGATCATTTTCCCTCGTGCCTTTTTTGTTCATCATGCCCTCGGAGTGAGAGGCTATGCAAGTGCAGCTCGAGTGTGTAGCGGGCATACCATCTAGGTTTGTGCAAGTGCACTCTACGATGCTCACACAAACACAAGATTGCTTAACATGTATCTCAGAACACAATCCTGTCATTAAGTGGTATGTGACTTGTGTATTTATTCTCAGAGCTTAGAAATTCCCAATATTTTCTACCCAAGAGTGTTACCTACCAAGAAGTGTGCTCATCTCTTAAAGTCCACGATTCGTGTGTTTTTGTTCCCTGCAGGAGTGTGCTACGCAGAGTTTGGAGTCCGCGTCCCCAAGACCACAGGATCTGCTTATACCTACAGCTATGTCACGGTTGGGGAATGTGTGGCATTTTTCATTGGCTGGAACCTGATCCTGGAGTACCTGATTGGCACTGCGGCTGGTGCCAGTGCTCTGAGCAGCATGTTTGACTCACTGGCAAACCACACCATCAGCCGCTGGATGGTGAACAGCGTGGGAACCCTCAATGGCCTGGGTGAGACTGCTGCATGCTCTCCCAGACATGCAAACCTATCGAGCCAAATGAAGGGGCTCCCCTTTTAAAATCCAAAACATGTCGAGAAACTTGGGTGATGCTTTTTGTTTCTGCAGCGTAATTTTTCATCTTCAGGAAATTATTTTAATTTTTATGGAAGCATTATACAAAAAGCTGTTCCTCACATGTTCACTACAGCCTTATTTAAAGAGGTTTATCTGAAATGCTTGAGATCAGAAGCTTTTTTGAGTTTTGGACTTTTTCAGACTTGGAAATACTCGCCTACACATAATGAGCTTTGGAGATGGGACCCAAATCTAAACAAAAATTCATGTATGTTTCATGCTTCTTGCATGCATAGCCTGGAGATCATTTTATTCAACATTTTAATATATTTGTGCATGAAGTAGAGTTTCAAAGTATAGGTTCTTTTTACTGGTGGCCTCGTGTCGACCCTCAAAAAATTTCAGACTCTGGAGCATTTCAGATTTCAGATTTTCAGATTACAATTGCTCAACTTGTCATAAAATAAATTAGAAATACTCTACATATTCTTCACTGTGGCAAATAATTAGGTAAATTATGTACATATACTATGTATCTAGCAACTGAAAGGTTAAGGAAGATAAAATAATAACTTGGAATATGTTTTAACATAATATAATGTTTCAAAGGATACAGACTATTCTGTGCATATACCATCTCAATAATTATATAAAAATAAAACCAAAGCAGAAAAAGGATCTGGAAGGAATTTCTCCTGTGATTTCATCAGAATTTTTTTCAATTTTTTATAAATAAGCAGGAGGTAGTTTTAAATTAAAAAAAAAATTAAGGAACAAAGTGTATTTCTGTTTGGGCCAGGATTTAGCTCCGTGGCACTGATTCTGCCTTGCAAGCACAAGGTCCTGAGTTCGATCTCCAGTACCACAAAAACAAAACAAACAAATAAAGTGTATCCCTGTTTAGCAGAGGTCAAGGACGGGTAATACAACTGATTGAATGCTAAACAATCAGAAGCCCCTCTAAAACTACCAGGACACCTCAGGCTCCATCTGTTCTTTTCCACTCACTTTCCATTCTGATGTCTGGTGTATTCTTTCACATTCATGGAAGCCAAGCTATATTTGAGAAAGATTTGGAATTTTCCTCAGAAATTCCAAGGAATGACTTTGTGGCTGTATTAAGTCCTTTGACTTCAATATCCCTATCTCATAAAAACTGACAAAAATACTGATCACCCAGATACCATTTTTCCTTTCTTTCTTTCTTTTTTGGTACCAGGAGATCCAACTCAGGACCTTGCACTTACAAGGCAGGTGGCAGAACCACTGAGCTAAATCCCCAGCCCACACCCAGATACCTTGACAGTATGAAAAGTATGAAAACCATGCCTATTCAGTATACTGATTTCATAAAATGCCCCCAAATTAGATTGTCCATCTCCTTAACTTTACAGATGAAATCCAAAAAGATGAGTCAACATACTGAAAACCACCCTGCTGGCTATTGGCAAAAGTGCAGTAGATTTCGGGTCCTTTGACTGCTGTGGCAGTACCTTTTCCACCCTATAGAGGGCAGGATTCCACTGGCCAATGGGCAAAACCCAACAGGCAGGACCAGTCATTTACTCTGGGCAACTACATGTTCACAAATGAAGAGAAAATCTTCCTTACAATGGCTTTCAAAGACACACATTATAAAATCTGGTAAGAATGAAAAATTATGGACTGTAATGGAAGTCTTACAGACTTAGTATTGAAGATTAAAATCATTTCCAAAGGACATATTGGACCTATGTATACACCCTGAATATCCCAAAACAGTCGTCTTCCAGTGCTCTGTGCCATGTTCCCACAGGTGCTGTTGTAATTGTCATATCACATATCCCAATTTTTGGTCCAAAATATCAAGTCCTCTTACTTATCTACCAAACCTGCCTATTTGCGAATAGACCCTTATATCTCCTTGTGGAGCACAACATGACCATGTGTGCACGTGCACACACACACACACACACACACACACACACACACACACACACACACACACACACACACTGTCCTGTCTGACAGATGACCGCTCCTCTGAGGGGCAGAACTGAGAGAAGATAAGGTTGAGATGAAATCAGGAGTTTGCACTAAATCATACCCCTCTCCTCTAGGGAAAGGTGAAGAATCATACCCAGACCTTCTGGCTCTGCTGATTGCAGTCATTGTGACCATCATTGTTGCTCTGGGAGTGAAGAACTCCGTGGGCTTCAACAACGTCCTCAATGTGCTGAACCTGGCAGTGTGGGTGTTCATCATGATTGCGGGCCTCTTCTTCATCAATGGGAAATACTGGGCTGAGGGCCAGTTCCTGCCCCATGGCTGGTCTGGGGTGAGTTCATCTTAAAGCCTGGTGCACCTGTCACGCACTATGTTGCCACCTTGCCAACACCTAGCACAGATTTTCAAGGTCTGTCCCATAATCTTCATCGTTTGAATTTGGCGTTCACTGAAAAAGAGGTTCCCATTTTTCCCACATTAAGTTTATTGGTACATTTAAAGCAAACAATACAATTACACTCATCATTGGGATCTTGTACCTTTACATGATATGTGTTGGTTCTTGTTTTTCCTCATACCCCTGCCCTCCCTTCACCCACTTCATCCTTCCCTATTTACAAAGACGGTTTCCATTTTTCCCCTTTTTCACATTTTTTCGTTTTCCTTATTTCCTTTCCCCTCCCCTTCCCACTTCCCCTTTAGCCATTTTCTTCCTATTTCACACTCTCAGTTATACCATTTGAACCTTATTTACATTTTTAGTTTTTCACACCAGAGAAACTATTCTGTATTTACTCATGTGTCCTATCTATTTCACATAAGAGTATAGCCTAGATTTGCATCCATTTAGCTATAAATGTTTCTAGTTTCTCATTCTTTATGGCTGAATAGTATTCCATTTAATAGAAAACCCACATCTTCATTATCAAGTGTCCAGTTGATGGGCATTTGGGTTGTTTCCAAGTTTTAGCTATTACAAACTGTGCCACTATAAACAGAGGTGCACATATATCACTGTGGTAAGATTCTTTTAATTCTTTTGGAAAGATACCCAGCAGAGGGATAGCTGGGTCAAATGGAGTGGTTCTCATTTTTTAAATTTATTTGTTTCACAAACATTTGTTGAGATCTTATTTTATATGAATTACAGTAATAGGTTCATTCCATGGTGTGGCCTCTTGCAGTAGGTCTAACACTGTGTCAAGTACTTTACATGTAAAATCAAATTTAATCAATAAAAATCCTAGGAGGAAAATAGTTACATTTATTTCTCAAGGACAAAAAAAACTCAAAGAGGTCAAATGAATTACCATTAAGCACACAGTGTAAGAGGCAGGATAGGGACCCAAAGCCCATACAAGAACAGCTCAGTTTCACAGAGTTTCTCAGTAGCCTCCAAAGAGAGTCTGGCAGGTACATAAATAGATCAGGCAGTGTAGGAAGCCAGGGAGTGGATGGCAGGAAGAGTTGAGTTTTGCCTGGGTGTGAAACTAGGGAAAGGATGGTTTTTAAGCCATCCATTGACCTCAGGAAGCGAGTCCTGCTGGAGTTGAGCAGACTCCAGGAGTGCTGATTAGAAACCCTATCCCCCGTGCTTCAATCACCGCACAGAAGTCTACTTAATTTGGTCTTGGGTTTGGCAAGAGAGAGTCCTGGAGAAAAACATTTCTGGATCTTATCCCCATGTGTGGATATGGTTGTGGTGTGCATTAGGCTAATGAAAAATGGTACCAGGCACAGTGGCAAAGGCCTGTAATCCCAGCTACTCAGGAGACTAAGGCAGGAGAATCACTTGTTTCACGCCATCCTAAGCAACTTAGCAATACCTTGTCAGAAAGGGGTGAGGGAGCCTGGGATATATATAGCTTAGTGGTGGAAGCACTTACCTAGCTTAAGGAAGTCCCTGGGCTCAATCTTCAGCACCACAAAGAGAAAGAAAAATGGGAAGGTCAGAGTGGCAAATTCTTTATATTTACAAGTGGTTCTAAGTTTTGCCTGGTTTATTTCTCTGGTATGACTAAAAATACTTATTTTATGGGTTTATCAGTAAAAATCACCAGCCATTTTTTGACAGTAGTACATAAATTAGAGAACTTTCAGCTGGCAGGGATCTGAGAGGTTCCTGGTCCTATCCCCTCATTTAACAAATGAGTGAATCACTGAAGACCAAGTGAGGCAAATCTGCCTAACACTAGAGGCAAAAGGGAAGCCAAGGATTCCACTTGCTTTGCTTTTGTGACTTTTGCTTACACTTATTTTCCTCCAGGATGTCAAGGGATCAGAAATCTCTTTTGGAGAACATTCAAAATAACTTCTGTTTATTCCGAACTATGCCATGCTGTTCAATGCAGAGAAATAAGCAAGGAAGCTATTTAAGCTTTTAAAAAATTCTAGGCTTCTGCTTATCCAAAAGAATTCCAAAGAACCACAAAGTTCAACTCTCTTCTGAAATGAATAAATACTGAAACTTGTTAAAATCAGAAGAGACAAAGAAGCACTGTTGACCCGTTTCTAGATCCGCATGTCTATATTTTCTTATGGTACAAATTGTTCCTTTCCTATCACATAAGAGAAACAACAAATTATAAGAGTGAGAAGAAAGAATGTTTTCTTGGAACTCAACTGCATTTTATTGTAGCGCATGAAAATATCCTTATCACTTTCTCATCAATGTAAGAAAGAACCGGGTCACAGACTTACTGTAAGATTTGGGGCATCCATTAATTTCAGTATTGCAGGATTTTTCTTCTGTTAAGTGGGAAAACAAACTGCACCAAACACTTGCGCAAAAGAACAAAATCTTGGCTGTTTTCTGTGCACATTGTTTTAGTTAGCAATAGTTACAATGTCAGGAAGAAGCAACTAATATTTACTGGCTACTCTGTTACATGCTTTAAGAATATTATTTTGCTCTTAAAGTAAACCCTGAAATCAAATGATGTTATCCCCAATGTGAAAATAGAGAATGCAAAGGTCAGAGAGGCTGGGTAACCTGCAGATCTCTTAGTCTGTTTTGTGGCTGTGGTTCTAACACAAGGCTGTGTGACACAAAATCCTTTCTATTTTATTCAGTATTTCGTGTATGATATGATGACCCCTTCCTTCCGAGTCTTCTTAAAAACAAGGTAGTTAATCTGACATGTTACAGTTCCTTTAAACTTTCACAAAATCTTAGAATCTAAGAGCTAGAAGAATCATTAAGAGATAATATGGCTTTTTTCTTATCTTCAAATGGGAATATGATTACGCCAACCTGGGCTGAGTTGCCTATAAAGATATGCTGTCAAAGCAATTATTTATCTTATTTATGCTGTTCATATTTGATCTTCAAAATCCTCCTAATGGTTCCTCTGATGGCTCCTCCTGTAATTTAGGTCCCATATAAAGTCCAGAGTTAACATCCGCTGAATAAATGTTTTTCCTGAAGACGGAGGGGATGAACAAGTCTGTTTGACTTATCTTCCATCTGGTGTATATTTAGGGGGTCTTTTTTCTCTTTGGGAGTTTTCTCTCCCTTTTTCAAGGACTTCACACCCTTCCTCAACCAGAAACTACCTCATCAAGGAAAGTATACGCCAGCTAGCCTTAGGGGCTGCCCATATATGCATCCTGGGTTCTCACCTGGGCTCTGTAACAGGAGATTGGAATTTAGGCATTAAAAAAAAGAGAGGATATTTTAACATTTTCTTTGTGACAAACTCTTTTATATATATTTTTATTTAACCTTCACAAGAACCCTGCAAAAATAAGGATGAGGATCTCCACTTTTACACCAAAATACAAGTTCAACTTTCATGGTTAGTTTGACTTGGGGGAAGACTCAGATATTACGCAGTGCCAGATCTGGTGAAAAAGGTGGATGAAGACACACCATAGTATTTTTATGAGCTTGCCTTTTGGCTGGATAGCACATGGTAGCACCTTTCATTGTATTTTTTATTACATCTTGTAAAGACACAAAAGGAAAACGGCTTCAAAAAGTGGCGTGAGCAATGAATGGGATTAGTGTCTATGGAGAGAGGACAAGTATTTTAGAGGGGGGTTAATGGTAATGTATCTTTTACTGTAATAAATTTTTAAAATTTACACATCCCCTATTTATTTTTATCACCCCTTATAACTGATGTTTAAAAAATTTAAGATCACAGATCTAAACTGGAAGTAACAACTAAAATTTGATCCTGCATTTACTCCACTACCCCTATCACATTTGGACCCAGGGGACCATTTATCATTTGTGTGCTTGTTTGTTTGCTTGTTTGCTTGCTTGCTTGCTTGTTTTTCCACCTTTGGCTACTCATCTCACTCCTATCATGAGTAGTTTTGTCACTGGATACCAAAAGAACATGGCTAGGATTTTGCATTTTTGGTAAAATCTATTATTCTGAAAGAAACTCAATTGTATTCCCTGGTGTCTGTGACTAAAAGTATCGTCTAAACACAAAGGACAGCCCAGTGTGATGCTGCTGATTCATCCTCTCTGCTCTCTGCCTGGCCTTGGATTTCTGCGTAGTACATTTCCTCCCTAGTGAAAGTGTTTGTGCCTCTTCTTTCTTGCCTTTGGTTCCAGGTCATTTTTCCAGTCCGACAAGGCCACTGTGTATTTAAATCCTGTTTTTTAAGGGCTGACACCCCCTCATGAGCATTACCAGGGTAACAAATACGTTTCCCACTCTTACCTAGCAAATGTCAACAAAGGCATGCTCCTACTTGGCAGCTGCATGGACTTCTTCACTCCTTAGGGAAACCCTGACCCCTACTGCTGACCAGGGGACTAGTACAGAGTTCCAATCCAATTTGTTTTCCAATCACTTTAGACAGAATGTGATAGAGAAAACCATAGTGCAGGGAATTATTTATAAGGATACCATTATTTGACATTAAATATAATTCTCAAGTACGGTACTTTGAAATGGTTAATGAACTATCAGTTCTCTGGCAATGGAGCCCTCACAAACCTACTCTTTCTTTCCCTTGCTCCAACCATTTCTTTCCAAAGAAAATAGCTTAAGGAATGGTTTACTCACTTACAGGTTCTGGGTCAAATGCTTCTTTGGTCATGAAGAGCTTAAGAACAACAAACATTTTCCCCTATATCAAGTAACTCTGGCCCTCAGCTGAACCCCTGCTTCCATCTGCAATTCCTCAGCGCTGGACGGCGTTGGATGTCTGTGCCCTTTATGTTATTTGTTCTTGCTGCTATCTTATGGTTTTTCTTTAACCAAATATGACACTCTAGTGCACAAATAGCTCCCAAGAAAGCAGTCCAAACAAGTATTTTTGGAAAATTCTGACAGCCTCCAAACAAAGGAAAAGTTGTTTTTCATGTTCCTCACATCTGACTCCATTTGTTGGAACCTATTAGCACATTCCACTGTCATTGTGAACAGGCTGCTAATAGAGATGGGGTAACAGGGTGGTTGAAAGTGCTATTAAAGTTGGAGTTTTGTCTTATAACCTGGGGAGTGAATTATGTAAACGTGCCCAACTATCTCCTAAGCACCTGACAGAGTGGCCAAGACGGAAGGTAGGACAGCTGCCTCGTCCTCATGCTTCTCAAATATCAGCAAGGCACAAGGGGCCAGCTTTTAGAGACCCCACACACTGATTAGCAGGCTGCTCATGATACTACCTCTTACAGCCGAGTACAGAGTGGCTCTCCAGTACCTGAGGCATGGGCCATTCCACCACAAAGCTCTCAGAGGGATGAACCTTTCTGCGTCACCTGGCTAAGCAACTACACAAGGTTTACTTTGGAAAATGATTTTAGCATTGCTATCATATTTTAAAATCGGTACTATTTTTAGGTATGTAAAATATCAAAAGAAAGAGTTAGGATAACTTACCAGTGAGCTCAAAACACACATACGCTTGCTTATAAGCATATGTGAGTACACAAACACACAAACACACACACACACACACACACATTTAGCCCTCCAACTGGATTAACAGATGCTCATCTCTAGGGACCACACACATCTTTTCACACATGTGAAGGTACCCTAACCCTAAATACCAGTGACCAGGTCTGAGACCTGGAGAGAGTGGCATGGAAGAGAGTTAGTGGTTACTTGGGTAGGGACATGTACATGGTCTCCTTCCATAGTTCTTCTGTATTTACTATTTGGTGCAAGGAACACAACCCCTTCAAACTCACTCAAGTCCAAAGGTACTCACTCTTGCCAACTTTGTTTTCTTTTTGGTAATCTGTTTAATCTGTGTTAGACTGGGGTGTGCTTGAGTTCTGTCGGCATGCTGTTCTTTCCCCATTGCCTTCACTGCCCAGCTTCATGCTCTGGACTGTGCTCTACAAGACCCATTGCTGTTTGCTTCTGGTTGGGTGCAGCCAGTGGAAAATCTAATCAGGCAATCAGAGGACGAGAAGAAATAAAACAAGAAGATTTCCTCCTTCCTGTCTGGCACCACAGTGGCCACTGCTCCTTCTGGGCAGCTCTGCTCCACCTGTGCAGCTCTTACTGGACTACAAGATCACCATTCTGCCCCAGCTCCACAACACAAAGATGACATCCGTTTGTCACTGTCCAGCATCCCAACTGATTCCCTCACCCTGCCAGTCCCTGCCTCTAGACCCTTCATGGACATCACTTCATTTGACCCATCTGCATTTAATTCCATTGACTGCCTGGTACCATAGGGCCTCCAGATGTCCTGTCCATGACCTGTGAAGTCTTTCTTCAACTATAATGGCTTCCTGGTTCTACATTTGCTAATTCAGAATAGCATCATCCTATTTACAAACTTATTCCCCCTCTTTTCCAGCTAGATCATAGTTAATTTTCTGGCATCCAATTTTTATCAGAAGTTGTCAATTCTTTGTTTCATTTATTTAGGATATAGAAGCACTTGTAGAATAGAAGCAAATAATGTGACACTGTACCTATACATTTGGTTCCTTTTGTTACCGTAGTCGATGTTGCATTTAAGGTCTTGTAGTACTTGCCAAATGCCATGCCCCCAAAGGCCAAGTTCAGAGTACTTCGTTGTTCATGACCATATCCCCAATACCAAGCACAGTGCCTGCAATACAACAGCATGTAATATACGTGTCAAGCTCTAAATAAAGGAAGAGGAGCATAAGAGGAGAACGAAGTGGAGCACAGGGAGGAGGAGTTTGTACCTTCAGTTTCGTCTCCTCTAGAAATTTTATCAATAGCAATCGTTATACTAGAGATTAAAGCTAATATTTATTGAGCACCTATTGTATTCTGTGATTGCAGTTTACTATATTATCTCATTTAATCCTTCTAACGACTCCATGAGACAAGTGCTAGTATCTCCAGTCTAGTAATAAAGAAACTGAAGCTCTAAGAGATTAGGAACTTGTGCTAGGTCACCAAGGTAATATGTGGCAGAACCAACCTAGGTTTGACTGCCTACAAAGTCTACACTCCTAAAAAAAAGAAAACCAAATCCACCTCTATGGATGGCTCTGGGATTCATCACTGCTCCAACTGTGACTCTGCCAGTACTTCGGATATTTGAAGGTACCCTTCATGTTTTCTACTGCATCTTTTCTCTTCAAATTAGACACCCTTGGGTCACTATTATTCCTCACACCATCTGGATCCTAAGATCCTAAGATGCACTGCATCTTTTTCAAAAATAGATTTGCCCCTAATCCGTCTGTTTGTTTTAACAGGTCACTATATGATTTACAAGAGGAGTGTGTGTGTGTGTGTGTGTGTGTGTGTGTGTGTGTTTGTGTGTGTGTATGTGTGTGTGTGTTTGGCACAGAAGAGAAATTTTAAAAGACAAGAACACAGGACCTGCTTTCTGGAAGCTGTCTTAAAGCAAGGCTGTCCTTGGTCGGCCTACAACACAATAGCATGTAACATATTTGTGTCGAGTTCTAAATGAAGCTTAGTGAGCTTGGAATCCCAGCATCTGTTCATCCTTGAAGGTCACTGACAAGTAAAACAAGCACATCTCTAAGCCTAGGAATCTCTTTGTATGATAAAGTAAGGTCTGTTTTCTTTCCTTCTCTGGATTCCAAAGACACTTTCCATAGCCTGATACAAAGGGTTATTCTGGAGGGGAACTATGGGGCTCTCTTCTCTCCCAGAAAGCAGCTCTTAGAAGATGAAGCCACTTACGTTAGAGAAGTTCTTTCTACCTTACTTATTGGAACAGACCAGGAGTTCTTTTCTGTGCCATAGACCTCTTTCCAGTAGATTGATGGACCCCTACTGGCCCTTGTAACATATTAACAATGTATTGCCTTAATAATACTTTAAATAACATTATCTATGACAAGTAATCATTGTGATTTTGAAGTAGCGGCATTAATAATGAAAAGAAATGCTAACATTCCATCAGAGGTTAGTGAAAATTAAAATGTGATTATTTCCCAGGAAGTCACAGACATACCCCCCTAAATGCTACTGAGCCCAGGATAAGACGCCTTGGTTATACTAAAATATCAGAATACAGGAAAGGCTGTAAAGGAGAACAATTCATTTTACAGATCTGCAAAGGTTGTTTTTTGAAGGTTTCATAAGATCTTCAACTTGTGATGTACCTTGTAGGTTCTAGTATATAATGCTTTGGCTTTTCCTTATAGAAAAGTCAGTGGGGAAGGTAAGAGTGAAATTTTTGGGCAAGTACCTGCTTGGCACAGGCTTTGAAGACAATTATTTATAAAGTGAATATAAGGTAAAGGGGGGAAATATCTACATTATCTCCTGGACCCCTATAGAGCTTAGGCTTTGTCCTCTCACCCAGTACACATGTCTTTTCCTGCAAAGAGATCCCCAAGCATTCAAAGAGACACATATTTTACTTTCAGTTAATGACAATACCAAGGTGAGGAAGACTCGGTTGAATTTTAGTTCTTTAGAAGAAAGCCACACACTACTCAATGGAAGACTGTCACTCACATCCTAACATGGAGACCCAGCCATCCTTGGAGCCACATAGGTCCGTGGCCGATGCATGTTCAGCAGATATCACCAGATACCGGACGATACAGGACACTACTGGATACCACTTCCCCGGCTTTACTGTCAGTGCCTGCCTCGTGCCCAACCTGCTCATTCAAACCCTTAAAAGCAGTAGAATACCTAACTCTGTCTCTACTCTGTCTACCCTTTGAAAGAAATAGAATATCTAAAGATCTGAAGATCTTTTTATCATTTCAGATCTGGAAGGTACCACAGAGATGATCTACCAGGGGCACTAACATAAATTTTGGCAGGACAATTCTTCTTTGTGTAGAAGTATCTGAGTCCCCTCCACTAAGTTCTGGAAGCTCCCACCCCATGTCTCCACAGCAGTCAAAAGTACTTCCACACATTTCCAAATATGCCTTAAGCATGTCATTCAGGCTGTGGTTGTGGTTGAGATCCGTTGGGTGAAAACAAAGTGCAAGAAGTTTAATGAGTTCCCTAAAACAGAGATAGCCAACTATCTAGCTTGTTTATATTCCCACTTATTTCAAAAAAAAAAGATATGAATGTGTTGAATGACCCAATTTTCATTTGGCCATAAAAAGTCTTATCTCATTTAACACAAGAGGAAATTGCCCAGGCTCGCACAGGTAGAAAGGAACAATGAGCCCTTGGGTGTTGAGCACTAACTCTACCACTCTTTTCCCTCTGCCACTCAGTAATGTCTGCGGACATTGAGCAGTCATGGGTGTCACATCTAAAACCCTGTGCTGCTCTGATCTTCTGAGCCTGATCAATGCCATCATCCATACAGGTGCTGCAAGGAGCAGCCACATGTTTCTACGCTTTCATTGGCTTTGATATCATTGCTACCACTGGAGAAGAAGCCAAGAATCCTAACACATCCATACCATATGCTATCACCGCCTCTCTGGTCATCTGCCTGACAGCATATGTGTCTGTAAGTACCATATGTTGATGGGACTTTTCCCATATCCTTTTTATATTTGATCTTAAAATATAGCTTTAGGACTGTGTCCTCTCCTCTGTTGGGAAGTAGAGCTTTCCTTGTGCCTCCTTGGTTTTGCATGATTGTGTCTTGTGCCCCAGTAGCCTCACCCACTGATGATATGAAGAAACTCAGGACTCCAAACTGGAGAGGAGGAGCAGCCCCACACCCTTGCTTTGGCCCTGGACTCTGAATCTTCATCCTTACCCCTCCCTGTGCCCAGGCTGCCCCAGGGGATGGTGAACAGGGATGGGCTGCTGTCCAAGGAGCTCGGGTCATAGGCTGGCAGTAATGGGTGGCCAGCAAGCAGAGGCACTGTGGCCTCTGTGCACAGCCCTCAATGCTCTTCTGTCTTCCAGGAGCTTCCCAGCAGTGAAGAGGCAAGGCTCCCACTGAGTGGGGAGACAGCATACATTGTCCTCGGGAGATTCTCTTTCCCTTAAAATCTGGGGGCAAATGTACTTTCTTTCAACTGTTGCTCTGAATTTTCACACCAGCTCAAACTCATCATTGGGGTTTCCCTGCCTCATGCAGCCCTCATTGTGAAGCCTTCAGCCTTGCCTCCTCGGGATCCCCTGAAATCCTTCTCCATACATTTTTGATGTTTCATCTCTCAGACCCCATGCTAAAATTTCTATTGCAGAAATAGCTCAGCCACATCCAACACCCTACCAGCCACTGGCAATAGAACCAGCAGATGAGCCTCCAGATATATGGTCACACACACATTCACACACACCCAAGTCCTAAAGACCCTACCCACTTGGGTCACCACAATTTGGAAAGAGTCAGCAGGTGGAGGTGCAGCATGCCACCCCTGCTGTTCCTCTTTCCAAAACAATCATCCTCAGCAACTAGCTAAGGAAGTCAGACCAACTAATGGTTGAGATAAGCCACAAAGCAGAATTGTTCTAGAAACTAAACAAAAACTCCAGAGAGTAACCTCAGATATAATTGATAGAAATTCAGTTGCCCACCCAGATACTTTATGTATGGCTCAATTATCACCTCTCTCTGCACACACAGGCACATGGCTTCATCCTGCTGATGTCCTAATTAGCCCCATAGGCAGAGCGTTGAGGAGGGGAGGCAGAGTGGGAGGAACAGTTGGGATACTGCTCTGAATTTCTACCTCCTTTCCTCCCTCCTGCCTCCCCCTCCTACAGAGGACCTTTGCAGCACACACAGAACACACAACAGCACACTCCATCCTCACCATGCCTTCCTCAGAGTAGCACTTTGAAGGCCACAGTGTACTCCTATCTATCACTTTTTATCCAGCCTGGTTGAGCATGGCAGTAAACTCATTGTGATTTATTGAAATTATCAATCCCACTCTTTCCAGGCTACACTATCCCATCCCTAAAGAAGATGTCACAAGTGCGTCTGTCCCTGGGAAAGGCTTTCTTTTAGACTATGTGGACCTTAACTGTGCTTCACGAACTGTTTGGTCTTGAACTGGTCAGCAGGTAGCCAGCCTATCCCCATAAAAAGAGACAAATTGCTGTGTTGTGATAGTAAATCCCACTGTCTTCCCTAGTGGCACATGGCTTCATGGGGGATCTTGGCTCCTGAGGCACAGGCAAAAAAAAGGCTTACATATGAAGACCCTCTCCCTTCAGATTTTGAACTCTCTCCTTTATGTCAGGATTGGTCTTCACAGGCCTGGGAAATCTCCATATCTGGCCATATCACTGGCCACCCCAATATCTGGGGCTAATTCTGAAGAGGTGAATATTAGGCAGGTCTGTGAATTTGAAGGAAGACAGGTTCTGAGGGCCCCAAGCCAAAAGTTTCCTGATTCAGTGAAGCCACAGTGGTCTTACAATCCCATAGTGGGACTAGGCTCTACCCTGATGCCATAATTTCTTTGTTGGCTTGCATAACCCCCAGGACTAAGCTAGAGAGAAATGGGAATAGAGTCCTGATCTGTGTCCCGTCAGTTGATTGACTGTGGTCCTCCTAAGCACTTACCTTGCAAGTTCTAATCTCTGGTGTTTGGAGTAAGAGTGAGCACAGATAAGACCTTGATCCTGAAGGACCCTGAAGTAATAAAAGAAATGAGAATCTTGTCTCCACAGATTGGATGACCATGGTCACTTCTCGGCATGGGCAGCAGCTCTTCCCATCTGTTAATGTCAGCTCCCATTGCACTGTCAGCGTAGTTCTGCTTTTATGGGCTTGAAGTACCTGAAGACTTATTCCTCAGACCTAAAATGACTGTATGAAGTCTTTAGAGATTATCTTGACCAGTCCACTAAAGTCCCATGTGGAGAAAAAACATGGAAGTTAAGAGTTCCAGAGGCCAAACAACTTGTCTAAAATAAAGCCACATGCCAGCTAGTGGCAAAGCACTTTCCTCCCAAACAGTCCAACTGTGCATGCTGTCGTCCCCTGACGTCTACCTGTAGCCGTGTGTTCTCTTCCTGTCTACTTGCAGTCATATCTTGTTTTAACAGGTGAGTATGATCTTAACTCTGATGGTGCCATATTACTCCATTGACACCGAATCCCCACTCATGGAGATGTTTGTGGCTCATGGCTTCTATGCTGCAAAATTTGTAGTGGCCATCGGGTCAGTTGCAGGATTGACAGTCAGCTTGCTGGGCTCCCTCTTCCCAATGCCAAGGGTCATTTATGCCATGGCCGGTGATGGGCTCCTTTTCAGGTAAGGACTATGTTCTGTGAAATGTGTTCTGCTCCACCATACCTATCAAGAATTACTGTCGGCCTGCCAGTAATTTTGATGGGTGCCTTTCACATCAACTGCAGATCTGCTATCCTAGGAGAGTTTGAGTGAAAAGAGCCCATGCCCTGAAATAGCCCCTCAGTCTGACTTTGGGTCCCTCAATCCAGCATCAACTAGTGTGTTTCCCCTGTTGCCCTTCTCCTTCCCTTGGCATTGTGTTTTGCTTGTGAAGATAGTGGGTGCCAAATTGTTGCACAGGGGAAGAAGCATCGGTCACAGGTGCATGTTCGGCCTCCACCCCTATGAGGCCTGGTACCTGCCCCTCTCTCCACAGCTCCTCTGAAGTTGAAAATAGATCAACAATCAGAAAGAGAATAAGACCCTCAGAACAGAATGAAGTAATTGTAGCAACAATAGCTAGCATTTATTGAACATTTGTGCATCCTGGGTGCTTTGTATACAGTATCCCATTTAGTCCTCACAATAACTCTATTTTGCAGATGAGTGTACCAGGAATTAGAGGGGTAAAGATATCTTGCCCTGAATCCCCCAGCTGCTGAAGGACAGGCCAGGATTTGAAACCAAAGCTATCTGACTCCATAAAACAGACTCTTAACCACACTGATACATGACAATTCTAACCCCTCCATGGGCCATGATGGTGCCAGTGTGGAAAGCATTACATCTCCATCACTGTAGCACCCTTCTCAATCTCTTCACCCAGTCACCTGCCCATGGCATAAGGGGGCATGGCCCCATCTCTTGGTCTCCAGGGCCCACCTTAGGAAAACAAGGTAGGGAGCTCTCAGGGTGCAGAACGAGCTGGCTCAGAGTCTTATCTCTGTCCCAAGCTGCCATCCTCAGCTTCATCTCTCTGCACACCCCCTGCAGTCTTCCCCAGGTCAGAGCTGCCATGTCTGTGTTGCTGAGCACATCAGCAGGGGATACAGTGTCAGAGGTATGACAGCTTCACACATCCAAAGGTTTTTCTGTTGCCAAAGAAAACAAAGAGGAGAGATATTGAGGCTTCAAGCAAATTTACAGTTCATCATGGAAATGAGTGGGGAATGGAAGGGGATGAAAGAGGCGGAGCAAGAAAGGAAGGGAGACCCTAAGGCCTTCAGGAATGGCTGAAGAACTGCCTGCTGTCCAGTGGCCCTTCTTTTCTTCTTCAGAGGATAACTAGATGACTTTAGCCTTATCCCTGAGCACGTAATGTTCATACTATTCTCCCACTAAATCTTTGTACTTTTGTTACATGGTGGTCTCTCAAGTTTTTGAAAGTTCTGGATACATTTTAACGTTGGGCACCACCCCAGAGATTCTGATGTGGCAGATCTTGAGTGAATAGCAAAAATATACCTATTTCTAACAGGTTAACAGGGTGCTGATCCTGCAGACTCACAGGTTTAAAAGTTCCCAAGCAGGCTGGGACTCCCCACTGCCATCCCTTTTCACAGAAAGGCTTGGACTCCAATTATTTAGATCTCCTAGATTCACTCCACGCTCCCTACCACATAATGAGAATTTAAGTGAATTCTAAGTTATATTCTAGGAGCCAAACTCTGGGGTAGGAATAACAGCCAGTTAAAGCAGTGGGCTGAAATAAATTGGAGGGGTAGGACAGCAAGAGCTAGCCACACCAACCTATTGACCTTTAGTCCCTACCGTGGCCATCTTAGAATCAGTCCCCATCTGTGACACGCCACTGACTCCCTGCTTACGCTGCCCTCCAGGTTCCTGGCTCACGTCAGCTCCTACACAGAGACGCCAGTGGTGGCCTGCATCGTGTCAGGGTTCCTGGCCGCTCTCCTCTCGCTGTTGGTCAGCCTGAGAGACCTGATAGAAATGATGTCCATTGGCACACTCCTCGCCTACACCTTGGTCTCTGTCTGCGTCTTGCTTCTTCGATACCAACCGGAGAGTGACATTGATGGCTTTGTCAAGTTCTTGTCTCAGGAGCACACAAAAAAGAAGGAAGGCATTCTGGCTGACTGTGAGAAGGAAGCTTGTTCTCCTGTGAGTGAGGGGGAAGAGTTTTCTGGCCCAGCCACCAACACTTGTGGGGCCAAGAACCTGCCGTCCTTAGGAGACAATGAGATGCTCATCGGGAAATCAGACAAGTCAACCTACAATGTCAACCACCCCAACTACGGCACCGTGGACATGACCACAGGCATAGAAGCAGATGAATCTGAGAACATTTATCTCATCAAGCTGAAGAAGCTGATTGGGCCCCGTTACTACACCATGAGAATCCGGGTAGGCCTTCCAGGCAAAATGGACCGGCCCACAGCAGCAACAGGGCACACGGTGACTATCTGTGTGCTCCTGCTCTTCATCCTCATGTTCATCTTCTGCTCCTTCATCATCTTTGGTTCTGACTACATCTCAGGGCACAGCTGGTGGGCCATCCTTGTGGTTGTTCTAATGGTGCTGCTGATCAGCATCCTGGTGTTCGTGATTCTGCAGCAGCCTGAGAACCCCAAGAAGCTGCCCTATATGGCCCCCTGCCTCCCCTTTGTGCCTGCTTTTGCCATGCTGGTGAATATCTATCTCATGCTAAAGCTGTCTACCATCACATGGATCCGGTTTGCGGTCTGGTGCTTTGTGGGTAAGCAACTTTCTTTTGGACCCTTGAGAGCATCTCTCTCTCTCTCTCTCTCTCTCTCTCTCTCTCT